TTTTTTAGTGCCGTGAAGCTGTCACAGCTCCGCATGGTGCCTCTGCCTTCCTGGAGGTGCAGGCAGAGCCCTGCAGCTAGGGCAGCAGCAGCAGGGAAGGGAGCGATAGCGTCCCTCCATTGCTTCTGATCTCCCCCGCTCTGTCCTAGGGAGCTGGCCGAGTGCCGAAAGACGCAGCAGGAAGAAAACGCGGACGAGAGCCGGAGCCGAGTTCAGCTGGCCAGCATCGAGGCCAAACACGTGAGCCAGGGGGCCGGGGCTGCTCATGGAAACAAGCCGGGGCTTCCTCGCCCCATCCTCATCCCCATGCTCTGCTGCAGCTGAGGAAGCCGCAGGGCTGCGGCTGTGCAGGTGAAAGCCAGGAGACCCCGGGGCAGAGCATGGCTTCTCAGCCTTCATTCTGTGGCTCGAGCTGCTGTTGCAGGGCTTTTGTGATGGCTGTCCCTGCTCCGTCACCTCTTGTCCCAGCCTGGGGCAGCCCGGCAGCGGTGATGCCCGTTTGCGCTCCCCCGTCTGCCGTACGTGTTGTTCTCCGAGGGCTGTGCAATGCGAGCAGCTCTCAGCTGTGTGTGGGTCTGGGTGCTGGCCTGGCGCAGGGGACTAATCCCGGGATAAAAATAGCCCCACAAAGGCAGGTTATTTTTAAGCTGGATCACTCCTGCCATGCGGTTAAGCCGCTGCAAAGGCAGAGGGGCCACCGAGGACCTGCCTGCCACAGCACCCATGGGGTGGGAGGCTCCAGGGCTCTCTCCCTGGGGACCCGTAGCCCCCATACACCAGGGTCCCCTCGTCCTCAAGGCCTTCTCTTTCAGGACAAATACCTGGCGGACATGGACGAGCTCTTCTCTCAAGTGGATGAGAAGAGCAAGGTGAGTGTGCCCTGGCGTGCGCTCCCATCTCTCCCCATCCAGAGCTGCTCGCCATAAACCTGCTTTAGTCCGTGCTACCAACTCCTCCGTCTTCCCGCTTCCCCCACTGAGCCGGTGCCACCTCCCAGCCCTCTTTTTTTGATGCTGGGCTCGCCCGGCCCCTCCTGACCCAGCTCTGCTTCTCTCGAGCCAGAAGCGGGACATCCCTGACTACCTGTGCGGGAAGATCAGTTTTGAGCTGATGAGAGAGCCCTGCATCACGCCCAGCGGGATCACCTACGACAGGAAGGACATCGAGGAACATCTCCAGGTACCACCAGGCCGGGGGGCAGCGGGGGCTTCCCAGGACCTTGCCCGCAGCTCTCCTCTGCCCGTCTCCTGCCTGGACATGAAGGCAGCTGTCTGCCCAAGCGAAGGCTCAAAAGCCTCCTTGGGTTTGGTCCCAGGTACCTGCCTGGGCGGCTCCCTGCGGAGGTGCCGGGGGCGGTGGGCGCTGCTGGGCCCTGCCTGAAGCGGAGGCGGCTGTTGGCAGGGGTCCTGTGCCTTCACCTGCTCTCTTTGGGCTGGGAGGCACCTTCAGAGCGGGGCTCTCCCTCCTCTCCGCTCTTTCCTCCCCCTGGCAGACACGCGGATGCCGGCATGGCACTGGCCTCGCGGCTGCCTGCGCCCCGGGG